AGGAAAGGTTGGGCATGAGGTTAGCGACCCTATCCTGTAAAAAACCAACACTAGGGTCACCGAAACTTCAAGCTTGTAGCTTGAAACCCTATATTTCACTGGGAACGTAAATTATTATTATTATTGTATCCTTTAATTCCTACAGGAACATAGGGCTTCAGCCGTGCGTCTCCATTGCGTTCTGTTCGCTGCTAGAGTCTTCACCTGACTCCATGTCTGCCCACACGCTTTCATCTCCTCTTCACATGACCTCCTCCAAGTCACCCTCGCACTGACGACCAACTCGCCGCTTCCCTTTCGGGTTCCACTCGAGCAATGACTTGTCTAGTGATGTCACTGGATGGTTTCCTCAGAGTATGGCCAATCCACCTCCATTTCTTCCTGCCTATTTGTTGCACAATCGGTTCCTGGTTGGTTCGCTCCCAGAGATCTCTGTTGCTGATCTTTTCTACCTGGCCATCTGATCTTGAGTATTGAGCGAAGACAACTGTTAATGAAGGTCTGTAGTTTGTTTGAGATGCTCTTTATGACGCACCAAGTCTCTGATCCGTATAGTAGCACTGACTGACTTCACATTGGAGTTGAAAATCCGGATCTTATTTTTGATGCTGAGTGTTGTTGACCTCCACTCAGACTTGAGAGTAGTGAAAGCTTGTCCTGCTTTGATATCCCCGTCAGTTCCGCCTGTAGTTGAAACGATGCTTCCCAGGTAGGTAAAGGACGTTGTTTCTTTCAGGTTCCATCCATTTATGCTGATTGTTGTCTGTTGTTGTTGTTGCTGTTGGTGGTGTTGCCTAGGAATCTTCATCACCTCTGTTTTCTCTATGTTCACCTGAAGCGATGTCCTATCTTTGATGCTTCTTCTGCCAACTTGTTCCTTTTCGCCTGCAACGTAAAGGAATACAATAAAATGTGCGTATAAACTTAACACACAAATTTTTTCTATTATTAATGTATGGGGCAACATGTTACATAACTGAAAAGAACAATATAGTCACATGACTGAGGAATACTTTTAGGAAATAAAAAGAGCAATTATAAATATTACAACTTCATGACTTTAATTTTGTGGCATTCCATCGATTTAAAATGTCATAAAGTCAGTTTTTGGTAAAGTTTGAAAAAATTAATTACGGAAAAAAAGAAGTTCCTTAAACTCAGCTAAATGGATATTTATAAAGTAATTTAGGCGTTCTCATTGTACATTCAAAGAAAGATATGTCTGAGCTAACAATTACTGCTTTGGATCTCCAGTTTGCAGATCCATAAACATGATTATCCAACGGCCACTGTAAAACTACAGTTATATCAGAAGCCAAGAATTGTTGATTACGAGTTAAAGGGCAATGCATCCAATAACATCTTTTTTTGGCGATCACATCCACTAAAAGGATTTTCATGGTGACAGAGTGAAGAATAAGTTCCTCAGTCGTACCGATACTGGTATCATGCATTTGAACATAAGTTGCCCGTGAAGTGTCCGCCAAATTTAACTGCTCCAGTGGAGTTCGTCAGATAGCTTGCAACCTTGATACACCTGTGAACACGTTTCGGTGTGGCTTGGAAAAAGAGCAGTACGTCGGTGGCACAGTGGTTAGGACTCTCGCCGACCATGCACATGGTCCGGGGTTCGATCACCCGCCGGCGCATACCCGATATCTATGGTCGGCCTGAATTTGGGCTACCGATATCCATGCTGAAAATTCCATACTTGTACTGCAAATACGGTGTGGAATCAAGCTGTAAATCAAAATAAAAAATAAAATAAATAAAAATAAGATAAATACTGCTATGTCATCCCATTTGGTGGACTGCGAACACCATATCCAAACATAAGAAGTATTTACAGTGATATCATCGTGTGCAGTACATTTTTCTGAAAAGTTTGTAGTTGTGTCTTTCATTATTAGGAACTAACTTAATCCATGTTCCCAGAAAAGTACATTTCATCTGTATGTCTGGCTTGTTCTACGACCAAGTCATCCTATTATGTCTCTGTACATCTTAACAGTCTCCTGTCTGTTCTTTCTACACCTTTCTACCTAGTTCACATCACATCATTATTATTGATATTGTCACGTGTCAGCTTTTAATTTATGCTGATCTTATTAAATTTGTTTATGGTGTTTGAAATGTCACTCATTTGAATGACTGTGAATCACCCCTTGTAACTTAATTTTATAAATTTGGCAATCATTTTGTCTCATATCTCCAGTTTATGTAAATTTAGTACATACTGAAATCACTAACAAAGTCAACTGTCCAAAGTTTCATTTTTCGATTCAAAAGTCTTTGATACTATTCACGCTTTTATTATCTCTTATACAGTTATATTTATGGTCACTTTTGTGGACTTATAACTGTATAGCCTGAAGAAAACGTAACTGCAAACAACTGTTTGTAACCTCGTAATGTTTTACGTGAATCTCTACATTCTTGAAGTCTGGTGATTTGATAAGCTTCTCATTTAGAGTAACTAGCAACCATCAGCAGAGTAACGCAAAAGTGAATCACACTTTAGTATCTAAAGTCAAATTTAAATCAAACTCATAGAGATATGTTATTTATGGTGTGGTTGATAGTCACTATCAGTGAAATCTATGGGGCGCAGTTTGTCTTATTTGTGACTCGTCATCTGGATTCACCTGCATTTTCAGTGGCTAGTGGTGTTATCAATGAGACTCAAACCCAGCTACCAGCGTTTGAAACGTTGTGTTACTCCCAGACCAGTTCACCAGAACAATCATGTGACAGTGTATTTAGATTCAGTAGAAATCAGTGAATGAGAAATAAAAAAATAATTTGGACAAATCATAAGAGAGGTCACTTATTACAATTTTATAATGGCGTATGTAGGCCACCATCTACACAGACCAATCAGTTTCAATGGAGTGGTCTGTGCAATTATAGTCTATTTAGTACTTGTGAAAGGGAAAGTAATCAGCTATGGTGGAGTGTACATAAATGCAACATGTTTCTTGACTATGAAATACAGATTAGCATATATACTCATGATTTTTCATTGAGTGCTAACGCTGGACCAAAATCCTGTCTTTCTTTTAACGATAGTCTAATAAATGATGCTTTTAGGTTTGAAACGATGAGCCTCATCCAGAACACTATTCCTCACTTGTAAATGCGGTTTCATCCAGTTTATGAGTCCCAAGCAGGACGAAACGCGTGCTCTAGTTTCCATTATCAGTCACTATCAACTGAACGACATGATGTTTGTCAATTTTCTGTTGTTCCTGTTTTTGAAAATGACGGAATGACAACCACGAATAAATCTTGATAGACAAATTGTCATTGTTGTATGAGTACTCTCCAGCTGGCTTTAGTCAAATTGTTTATTCTTTTCTTTTGGATTTTTGTTGAAATGGGAACTATGAATAAGTGCCACAATTCTGATTTTGGTGTTATGTAAGCTTATAGATGGTGAAGTCAAATGCATTAAAAAATATTTACTTGTGCGGGGATTATTTTAATTCACTGTAAGTGAATTTGTAAGGAATAACTCCGAATTTAAGAAAATCATTATTGCTGTATGCTGCAAAAAATACTGCCGAGTTATATGAAGTATTTTGTTTTTATTCCTTCACGTTCCCAGTGGAACATAGGGCTTCAGGCCAGTAGCTTGAAGTTTCTGTGGCAGTGTTTATTTTTACAGGATGACGTTGCTAGCCTCATGCCCAACCTTTCCTCTTCACCAGCTTTAGTTCTGGCTTAGCGAGGTAAAGGAGTGCGCCGGCCGGGGATCGAACCCCGGACCATGGGCATAGTCGGCAAGCGTCTTAACCGCTATGCCACCGACTCACTGTATGAAGTACCAGTGCCGTAAAATCATGTCAAACTGCCAATTGTGCAGAGATGAAAAATGAGTTTATAAATTCTTCCCTTAACTGATTAGCGTCAGACAAGCAGACGTGTATTAAAATTCCATGGGATTCCAAGTGGAATATGGAGCTTCAAGAGTATATCTCCATTTGTTCTGTTGTCTGCAGTCCTCTTCAGCTTACCCCACGACTGCTCATAAGCTGTCATCTCCTCCTCACATGACCTCCTCCATGTCGGTCTTGGACGCACCACTCATCGGTTCCCATTTGCGTTCCACTAAAGTGCGATATTACCTAACAGTTTTCTCACAGTGATGAAAGTCTTACTTGCCTTTCTGATTCTGGTTTTGATATCCTCAATGTCTCATGTAGTTAAAATGATGCTGTTTAGATAAGTGAAGGCAGAAACCTCTTTTCAAATTTTTGACATTAATAGTGGCCGATACTTATTGTTGTTCTTTGGTTGACTCCATTACCTCCGTCTTCCCTATGTTCACTTGAAGTCCCATGTCCGCTGCTTTCCCTGCCAACTTATTTATTTTTGCCTTTAAGTCTCCGTGCTTGTGTGATATTATACATGAATCTTTTGCAAAATCCAGATCTTTTGGAGTCTTATTATCGATCCAGCATATTCTTGTGTTCTCGCTTCCCTCAGTTTTCAGCGTAATCGTGCCAAATACAGTTAGGAATATCATAGTCTGAAGTAGTGGATAGCCTCGTCCTATTATAATCATGTCGTTATTCTGATACTCGAATACTCATAAAATTATGATTTGGAAATGCTTGACACAGCAACAAACCTGCAGTCGTTGGAAGCAATTTTCGTTATACGTCATTTAAATAGTCATTATATGGTTAACAGTGCGCTGACAAGAATAACAGTGAAACAGGAAAATTAAGCATAATAATATGTAGAAACGTAGGGAACATAAGAATTCAGATAAAGCAGGGATGGAGAATTCTACGATAAAACTACCCAATGCCCTAAAATATTCTTTATCATTACTAGGACATTCATGTGGATGAGGTGTTTTGTGGTGTAGGTTAGAGTTGTCAAAATACTCTGATTTTTACTACATAAAACTCTCAGTGTCTGTAAATCCTAACTGACATGCATTTATATGGTCACATTTATATACTCACATATTTTTGTCATGGTAATTTCAGCAACACTTGGAACATACAATATATATACGAAACGTGCCAGTTTCAAAGATGATGTCATCCTTCAACAATTTATACAGGACAATTGTGAAGTAATTACACCACCGGTTATTGAAGCTGTGAGTTATTTAATGCATTACACTTTGCTTTATTTCAATATATCATTTATGGAGTAAAGAGATAATTTGGTGATACCGTGAGGTCAAATGCTACTGCATTTGAACTGAAATTATATTTCCGAAAGGTTTTAAAAAAGGATATAAACGCACCTGATATAACTGCTCAGTTATTTCGGTAATGCGTTATTCCCTGCCTTGAGTGGCTCAATACTAATTTCTCTGAATACAATACCAGATAATGCGAGTTCTAATAGCTGAAAGTGGACAATAATTTTGTGATCCACAACTGCAATGTTGATGTATCCGTCTTCTTTTCCTTTTGAAGCTGAGTGTGAATTATTTTCTTTCCATTTATATTTGTCTGTGGCATCACCATCAAATATTCTTTCTTTTGAACTAATTAGTCCCCTTCATGATGTTTCACAAAAAAAACAAGGAGGGTTAATGTATCTGCGCAACACATTTTGAACAATCTGATCACACATATAATTATTGTAGGAATTTCACTGGAAAATAATGAGCTGTTAAGGTGTGGAGAACAGACAAAAATCAATTTAACAGCCCGTATTAAAGATCAAAATCACAATCGAGGCTGATAAACCAAAGATTGGAGATAAAATTGCATTTATCCTATAATTGAAACAAAATTTACCAAAGAAGGTTTTAACGTCATGACAAATTGTTTCTAAACAATACTAAGGTGGTTTAAACTCCTAAAGCGCTAATGCTTCCACAAACTTCGGGAAACGCCTACAACACCTTTTATAGATAGATTTAAAACTACTTATAAATAGTGGTCTCACGCCTTGTATCTATTATATATATATTTCTCGACAGAAGAGCTGAGTCATATGTTTTCAAAATCAACAGTTTTGGGGAATTCCACATTCTTTTGAAGCCTTTCGTTGCAGTGATTTTAGAGTCCTCTCTATGTATGTGTGACCATATGTAGATTGCAATTGATAGATACAATGGGATGTGGCATAAATTTCTGTATGTTTGAAGGGCTTTATTCTGTGTTTCTCCTTTCAAATACAGCCGCGTTAAAAGACACAATTTTATGTACAGCTGACAACTGGTTTGACAATGCAGTAGATATTAAGTTCAAACTAAATATCAAAGTTCATCAAAATTGAGTTGCACCCAAAATATCAATAAACCGGTTGAGTAGATTTAAAAGCCAACTTCGTCAAACAATTAAAATGTATCAGTCAAAACTCCGAAATAGATTAAAAACAATAAGTTAAAAAGAAACAGTTATATTTCTAAGTTTTTAGAATGACTTTGACTGGGTCAGAACAGTGTCAATATTATTCTAAGAGTAACTAAAAATCCACCCACTTGTCCTTGTTTGTCACCATCTAAACATATACCAGAGGTAACAGGTAACCATTCACGTGGTAAAATAGGCGTTAACCGGAGAATAAATTCGGTGAAATAATAGCAACTGTGGTTATTTATTCCAATTTAAGGTATTGAACCCTTTAAAAATGAAAAGTATTGAAAATGTAATCACATTCATTGCTGCTGTCTAGCGTCAGTAGAAAGTATTATTGTACAACCGTAGAAAATAACTCTATGCATGTTACAGTAAAGAGAGACTACCTCTTGAAAAGATGCCTTTCATGCAACTGACAGTTTAAAGGCTTCGGTCAACTACTATGCGCGCATCCTACGTTGTATTCCTTCTCCTTATATCCCAAACATTTTCAATCCATTTGCCTGCGAGTAAACGATGGGATTCTGTCGATTCTCCTTCACATTGAGTCCACTAGTTCAGTCGCATTTGTGGTGACACATATAGGTAGAACCAATAGAATGTTCCATTGTCGTCTTGAAGAACATATCTGTGTATGATTTTTAGGTCAGATAGGAAATCTAAATGTATTTAATCTGAGCAGATATTCAGCGTCAACCATTTCAAAGGATTTGTTAATGTCTAGTCACAAAATGAATGATAATGACTGTTTCACAGCTGTTTGACATAACTATAATTCAAGGTTTTATAAAGGTAGTGGAAGCATTTTGGATCAGTCACACATGTCGCAAACCAAGTGTACAGAAAACGACAAACTTCAAAATTCACCTACCATGGACTACTTGTTCCACTACAATATGTAATTGCTTATTCGTAGGCACTTTTACTTGATATAACTTAGTAGTCACCATACATTATACTTTGTTTTGTGAACTATGCTAGCTGTAAAGCGATCTTAATGAAACTACGAATTGTCGTCATCCCACGATATTTGTCCTCCTAGTGTCTTATTTAAACTTATCAGAGGGATTACTTGTTTCAACTCGAAATATCTTGATCATGCATAAAACAAACGTCAAGCTTGTAATTTATAGCTTGGGATATATCACACCAAATAATGAAAAACTTGTCTGCAAATTTTCGGTGTGATTTCAGTTATAATAGAAGTATTTAAAAGTTTTTATTACTCATAAGCGAATATCAAAAACAATGCCCCAAAAAGATAATTCTTGATGATAAAGCGTATTAAATTCCTGATTCAGATGAAATATTAGCATCCACCATGAGGCGAAATTAGGTTTTGAATGAAGATTGAGCATGTGAAGTATTTCTAATGTGTTAGTTAAAAAACACGTAAAAATTAGTCCACGACCGACTAGTGATTAGCTGAGAGATAGATTCCCCGAACTTTCTGGTGAGGTTGGGTGTGAGAACAGATATTAGCGGATGGCGATGGCTCGTGGTGAATCTGTAAAACGTCAGTCGGAAGAAGTCACGATTCATCGATCATTGGATTCGGCCCCAGAAACGAAATGGTCAATGCACTCGCCTCTTAATAAGATCGTGAACTACTGAATTAACCTAAACTAGGTAGACTCATTGATTTCCAATGGTATTTCAAATGATATCAGTTTGTAATCCAACTTGACCTCATTCAAATGCTTGTAAATCAACAGTTGAATGTGTTTTATAGAATTAATCCCAGTTTATAAAGAAGCGATAGGAATTTCTTTTATAATTATAATTGATGAAATTTCAGTGAGCTGACATATGTTAGTTGTTCAAATATAAAGCTTTCATGCAGAAACATTGTTTCTCCCATCATCCAATTTACACAGTATTATGCAGCAAAGTGATATTGTTTGGTGAATTTAAGAGACCAGCTGAGTACAGAGATATATATCACAAAAATTGACTAATTTTTTTTACCGCTAGGGTAGTAGATTAAGTGATGGATTCTTCACAAATATACTAACCTTAAAGCATTAAGGCTTTGATGCCCACAAGAAACATATTTCTAATCCACAGCTTGAAAGCAACAGTCTGTTCAACACAAAATATTAGTTTACAGAAACAAAGTATTATTTACTTGATAATGACTGACACAGGATTCTAGAACGCGTGTTTCTCCCTGTTTGAGACTCATCATTTGCATATGCTTGCATCCCAAGTGATTAATGATGTTCAAGCAGAGACTCGAAGCCGTTACCCATTGTTGTAAACGCCAAAGCTTCATCCAGTCAGTTACTGAGATACGGAATCCACTTCTTGAGTAACAGATATCGTATATTATACAGTGAAATTATTATTTTACACTTCGACTTGATTGATGTAACTGGGTTCGACTCTTAATGGTAGTAGCATCATAGATAAAGGTGCTTCTAGCTCATAAATGCAAAACAAAGTAAAACGCCTGTCCTGAAATCCACTGTTATCCGCTTCTACTTTAATAACATCGCGGTAATCTCAAGGCATCGCCAAAGTATCCTTTCTGGGAGCCCATGTGTCGATAGCGACTGAGCATTACTTTGAAGTTTAAAAAAACCAACGGGAATCCTAAATAACAGTCTTAATAAACAACACGAAGTTTGTTTCTTTGATTTTTTCAAAAATATATTAGAACATGACATATAAGCGAACAATATTGTTTTCAATTAGATCCGCTTCAGGTCCTACTCTAATTCGCCTAGATTTATGTACAAAAATTTTAACCAATCACGGTGGATCAAACAGTAATAATAATAATGTGTTAAATGCTTTGAGCATCAGTAATGACGAGCCCCGGTGGGTGCGTACTGATGAAGAGTGCCAAACTAGGACAAAACAGCTGTCCAGTACTCCCGGCTTGTTTTCCAATGGTTCTCTAACCAATGTCAGCTCATGATGAAATCCTGTAATGATAAGAAGGTTCATGCATATATGTGTAAAACTTGGGCACTGTGGTAGTAAGTAATTCTATATTAGTTTGTTTATGAGATATATCACACAGTGAAACAGTATTATTTACTGGATAACGCTTCGAACAGAGTTATCTGGAGAATTCATCTACCCGTACGTCAAATAGGAGCGAATAAAGAAAACTATAAAACTCGAGTCTCGAAGTTGTGTGATTATAATTTATATGATTATGAGTAATAGATTGTGTTCGAAACGTTATCCAGTAAATAATACTGTTTCACTGTTGTGATATATCTAATAAACAAACTATTAAGCTTTATTCAGTAAGCGGTACGAATAACAAAGGTTGTAGACAATTCAATAAATAAGTAAGGTCAAATCTTAAAAGTTACGTAATGCTAAAGGTGAAGTGGACAGATAATCAGAGTTTAAATAAATATCATAAAAGTACGAAGGAAATGGAAAATAAGAAAGAGTGGGGGGAGGTTAACAAGAATTTCCCCAGGCTAAGGGAGTGACAAAGGTAGAACAAACTTTTTTCGTTGTATGCAAAGACTAGGATTGTTCTCTCGAATTAATTCCCATGGGTTCGGCTATGTGTAAAAGGTGGGTTCGAATTCCGTTCAAAAGGCTAGATGGAATACGATAGATAATTTTGAAGGCACTACTGATGTCCACTTGGTGACAGCTGTCAATCAAATGAGTAAAAATAGAACTATCTGATCTCTTAATTTAAATTGGGACTACTACTAGTCCAGTGATTTAAAGAGGCCACCTTTTAATTCATTTACTGCTAACCGAAGATTATCTGTTCTATAGATCAGAGTATTTGTTGTATTTCTTT